GCCTGAACCCGGGAGGCGGAGGTTGCGGTGAGCCGAGATTGCACCATTGCACTCCAGCCTGGGTAACAAGAGCGAAACTCCGTCTCAAAAAAAAAGTAAATAAGAAAAAGAACAGGCAAAATATCTGTAACTTAATACTGATGAAGGATATGGTGAAATTTATTTTTTGGTCCTGTAAATTTGTTTAGTTCTTCAGGAAATGTGATTGACAATACTTAATAGCCACTAAAGTATTTGTATCCTTTGACTCCATAATTTCATTTCTGATATTTTCTTGACTCTAAAGAAATTTCCAAATGTGGAGAAAGTTGGATATACAAATTGTTTACAGGTTGAAAGCCATCTGTATGTCCAGCAGTAAAGAATAGCTGGAGTAAACTCTGACAGACTCATGTGGTAAATGGCATGTTATTTCTTATTCAGGATGCTTCTTGTGTAACAACATGTGAAAATCTTTATGCTACAGTAGTAGGAGAAGGAAGGAAATTGTTAGTCTGTATCTTCACCTAATGTTTATGCAGGTACCTAGAAAGGATTATGTAGAGATGCAGCTAAGTGGGCTGGGATAGTGAATGTTTTGTGATTATATTTTTCCCTTTTCTCTGTTTTGCAGGTTTTCTGGAATGTTTTTCTTATTTTTTAAAAATTAATTCATTCCTTTTCTCTTTGTACTCTTCTTGCTAAGAATTAAAAATTGGCTTAAGGTTCAATAACTCTCAGAAGCTAACATCAGTAGCTTTTCGCAGTTTTTGGTTAAATACAATTTCAAAGTGTTTTTCCTCTCTTTACATGGACTTTTCAATCCATTTCAGATCCATTATTAAGGTTTTGCAATCTTTGGAATGGACAGAATTATATAGTTGGCCACTGTCATAGTCTAGTCATTCTAGATCTGCAGTCCTTTTAAATGCTAAGAAGGTTGAAGGTTATATTGTACCAAAAAAAAAAAAAAAAAAACCAACAAAAAAACCTTTGTTTCCTGTGTCCTCCAGGTTAATGTTTTATCCTTTTGATCTTTCAGTGCAATTAAACTGAGGCCGAAGGAAGGGGAGACGTACTTTGATGTTGTGGCTGTCGTTGACCCTGTCACCAGAGACGCACAGAGACTTGCTCCCTTGCTCTTGGTAGGAACGCCGTGCAGGCAGTGTATATCACCTTTGTCTGAAGTTGTCATGTGCCCTGAAATTCGCTGAGAGCTTCATTTTCCTTGAGTTATCTTCAACAGGCACTGGACAATGCTGTGGGGTTCTAGGGCAGAGCAATTTTCACAAAGATTGACAGTGGCTCTGAAACAACTTCACAGCCCTAGAAAGTTGGTGCAAGTGTGGTTGGCAGCCTCATGTAATAAAAAAAAAGTGATTAACATTTTCGTTCAGAGTAAAACGTCCTGGAATTAAGTTACGCTATATTTTAATTTATAATGACAAAGAGGTAAAATAAGTATGTTTTGGTGTTTGTCCTTTTTTATAACTACCATGGATTTTTTGTCTTGTCATGTCTTTTAGACATGTATAGCATTTTGCAATTTTAGGACATTTAAAAGAGCTCTGACAAAGACACAGCCACTCCAGCATTCATTGCCGAATAAATCCCTGACCTTTTTTGTGAGTATTGGTGTCTCTGTTTTTTCATCCTCTGGCATGTGAGTGGTCACTATGAGGCCTGTAGTTTTTCCATGATCTGCCTGCTGCCGCAGGAACTGCCTTCGTGTGAAGAGCAGTGAGCTGCAGCAGTCTACCTCCCATTATTTTGGCTGTGTCCTATGTATGTGTGATTTAGATTTTGCAGTATAGTTGTCATTTCAAGAAGTTTCTCCAGTGCAGACTCTGGCTGTTACTATCTTTATACCTTTTCTTGAGGTATTAATGTAAGTGTCAAATACCACATTTCTGAAGAAAAAAATTCTAAATATTTTGTCATCTGGTTTTCCTTTTAGGTTTTGGCTCAGCTGATAAACATGAATCTGAGAGTATTTATGAACTGCCAATCTAAACTTTCCGACATGCCTTTAAAAAGGTAAAACATTCTATGTAAGAAAACAGTTGAAGAAATGGTGCTAAATCCAAGTTCTGATACTGCATGTTAGAGGATCAGATGGGTTTATAGGTGGATATCATTTGAAATGGTTTCAGTCGTTTGAAATGGTCATTTACTAAATGTTCATTTTTGTCAAATTTCACTCTAATCAGAAGTTCTAAAAACAGTGTGTTTAGAGCATTTAGGTAGCATTAACCCAGCCTATTTGTATTTGTGCCTTCTCTTTTTTCCCCCGAGATAGAGTCTCGCTCTGTTGCCCAGGCTGGAATGCAGTGGCATGATCTTGGCTCACTGCAGCCTCTGCCTCCTCAGTAGCTGGGATTACAGGCACACACCACCACGCCCAGCTAATTTTTGCATTTTTAGTAGACTCAGTGTTTTACCATATTGACCAGGATGGTCTCAAACTCTTGGCCTCAAGTGATCCACCTGCCTCACCTCCCAAAGTGCTACGTTTACAGGTGTGAGCCATCATGCCTGGCCTCATTTGTGCTTTTCATCTTAAAAGAAGAATATTCATTTCAACTTGGAATATACATGTTAGAAGAAGCTTGTTTAGCTGTATATTGTCATGAGCTTTGGAATGGTCATTTATGAAAAAAGTGATAGAAAAAGCCGTTAGTGTTGTGGCTATGGGAAATTTCTAACTTGTCAATGTGCTGTGTTTTATAGGTTAGCTTCTAAGTGGATTGAAACAGCATTTACAAGTAACCAAAGGGTTCCCAGCTTCCATCATTATTCTTTTGTTTTTGTTTTTGTTTGTTTTGTTTTGTTTTGTTTCATCATTATTCTTGTGTAGGAGAAATGTTTAGATTATTAGTGTTTTCGGGACTAGCCTGAGAACTCAATCAGCATTTAGGAATTGTTTTTAAAGAGAAAAATTAATCCTCCCTCAAGGGAAGAAAATGCCCAGGACCTAATTGTGACCCCGACAGCAGCCATCCGAGTGAAGTAGTGGCCTCCTCCTTAGTGCTGTCCTTGTTTGCCTTCTCTTGCATCTGCAGCAACCACAGGCATCATTAGGTCAAAAGATGATTTTGGAAACATTTTTCCCAATCTGGAAGGATACTCCTCTACATCTCATTTGTTTTAACCAGTTGTTTACCTGTGTGGGGGCTTGTACACTCAAGTACTGTTGCCACATTAAAAAAAACTAACGCTTTCCTTTTCAATTTCAGCTTTTACCGTTATGTCTTAGAACCAGAGATTTCTTTTACTTCAGACAATATCTTTGCTAAGGGTCCAATAGCAAAATTTTTGGATATGCCTCAGTCTCCACTATTCACTCTGAATTTGAACACGCCTGAGAGCTGGATGGTAGAATCTGTCAGAACACCATATGATCTTGATAATATTTATTTAGAAGAGGTAAGAATATCATTGCTTCCAAATATCTAATCATGTATAATACAACAGATTGAATTATAGTCTAGGTGGACATCTGAGACATTAGTGTCCAGGTATGATATATAAATAACAGATTTATTCACATGGAATTCGTATACCATAAAATTTGCCCCTTTAAAGTGTGCAGTTCAGAGTTTTTAGTGTATTCACAGAGTTTTGCAGCCATCACCACTATGTAATTTTAGAATGTTTTCATCATCCCCAGCAAAAGCCCCATACTCATTAGCTGTCATTCTCCATTCCCCCTAGCCTCTCGAAACTGCTAGTCTACTTTCTGTCTCTATGGATTTGCCTATTCATTTTGTCTGAATAGAATCATGTAGTCTTTTGTAACTGGCTTCTTTCACATATCAAATTGTTTTTAAGATTCATCCATATTGTAGTATGTATCAGTGCTTCAATTCTTTTTAACTTGCCAGATGATATTTCATTTATGGACATACCACATTTTATTTATCGTTTCACAAATGGACATTTGGATTGTTTTTACTTTTTGGCTATTATAAATAATGCTGCTATGAACATTGTGTGCAAGTTTTTCTACTGATACATGACTACAGGATGTCTTTGCATTTATTTAGGTCTTTACTTTTTTTCAACAACATTTAGTATCTTATCCTCATTCATATTTTTTGAATAACTTCCTTGTGTTTTTTTCTCCTTTCTCTTTCCAAGCCACTGTTTTTAATTGTATACAGTCATTAACCACAACCATAGCCAAGATGCAGAACATTTCTGTTACCCCAGAAGTTCTTTTGTACCCATTTGCAGACAGTACACTCCTCTTGCCCTGGTTTTAGGCAACAGCTAATCTGCTTTCTGTCATTATAGTTTTGTCTTTTCTTGAATTTCTTAATATATGATTGTATATTATGTAAATCCTTTTTGCCTGCTTCCTTTACTTTGCATAATGCATTTCATATTTATTCATGTTGTCGCTGAGTGCCTTCAAGTGATTGGATTTTTGGCATTGCAGGTGGACAGTGTAGTGGCTGCTGAATATGAGCTGGAGTACCTGTTACTAGAAGGTCATTGCTACGACATCACCACAGGCCAACCTCCACGGGGACTGCAGTTTACTTTAGGAACTTCAGCCAACCCAGTCATTGTGGACACCATTGTTATGGCCAATCTGGTAAATAATCCATTCACCAGATAGTGATATTGTAGTTCTGTTAATTTGGGCACTATAATTTATGATGGAGCAATTAGCATTCTTAACCACAGAGTGAGATTAAAATTGATTATGGGCTGAATTTGGTCAATACAGAAATCGTTAGTTCAGCTAAATTTGTAGGTTAGAATTACATGTCAAGGAAAAACGTGCTGGTGGAATACTCAGCTATAACTGAATTGTCCCCTGAAAATAGATTGCTCATGAGCTAACAGCCTTTAGAAGTGCGATGCTTATTCACGCATCACACGTTGATTCTTTCCTGAAGCACAGCTAAAGAGCAGATGATTTATTGGCGTGACTGGCCTTTATTGGGGTAGTTTTTCTTTGTTGTTGTTTTTGAGGTGGACTCCCAGCCTGGAGTACAGTGCTGTGATATTGGCTTACTGCAACCTTTGCCTCCTGGGTTCAAGTGATTCTCCTACCTCAGCCTCCTGAGTAGCTGGGATTACAGGCGCCCACCATCATGCCAGCTAATTTTTCTTCCTTTTTAGTAGAGATGGGGTTTCACCATGTTAACCAGGCTGGTCTCCAACTCCTGACCTCAAGTGATCCACTCACCATGGCCTCCCAAAGTGCTGGGATTACAGGCGTGAGCTACTGCAAACTGGCCTGTGCTAGAGTTTTTAATGTGTAGTTTTGGTTTAAGAGTTGCATTGATATGTTTACCATCTTACAATATAGGTGATTGATATTTCAGAAATAGAAGTAACTATTCCTTAGAAATAGCATTTTGGTGTTTTGAAGAGAGCTAACATTGGACTTTTCTTCTTTTCCAAGGGCTACTTTCAGCTGAAAGCCAACCCAGGAGCTTGGATCCTCAGACTTAGGAAGGGACGCTCTGAAGATATTTATAGAATCTACAGGTAGGAGTAAGTGCTGCAGGTACATTTTCCCAGAATCTTTAGAAATGAGCATTAGCTCTAATCAAATACTACCCTGGCAGTTAACCAGGCAACATGAATTTAATTTGCAGTTGTGTGTGTGATGAGACAATGGTTTTTCCAGGAAATCGAACACGGAAGAATTGTTAGATAGAATTAGATAATAAGAGGTATAGATGTTAATGAGTATAGTGAGGCTTTATTCTTTAACTATTCCTTTGTGCTAACAATATCCCAGAATCCGATCGTTCTGTCACTGTGATGCAGCTCATAGATAGGCAGATGAGAAACTTGAAAGGAGAAAAGAAGGGAAGAACAGCCAAACTTTTCTGCCCAGAGAGACTATGTGTTGACCCTGAGTAATTGGCAAATGCACAGTACAAATAAGCTTTGGTCTGGAAGCCATGCTGTTAGTGCAGGTCCTCCTTGATCTCTGGTGGTATGGTAGTACTCCTAAAACATTCCCTCTATAGCCAGGTTTTGCCTTAAGGTTTACTGCACAGATTTATTAGTTTAAAAATAATTATGTTGGCCTGTCATAATGACTCACACCTGTAATCCCAGCACTTTGGGAGGCCGAGGCGGGTGAATCACAAGGTCAGGAGTTTAAGACCAGCCTAGCCAAGATTATGAAACCCCATCTGTACAAAAACTACAAAAATTAGTCAGGCACGGTGGCAGGCAACTGTAATCCCGGCTACTCAGGACACGGAGGCAGGAAAATTGCTTGAACCTGAGCGGCAGAGGTTGCAGTGAGCCAGGGTCGTGCCACTACACTCCAGCCTGGATGACACAGTGAGACGACTCAGTCTCAAAAAAAAATAAATGTTGCCTTTAAAAAAGTTTGGTATCAGTTCTGCTTAACACAATTTAAGTTAGTTTTAAGCTGTGTGAAAAGACTTCCTGCTAATTTGTTTAGGGGATGATTTCCATTAGAGTGCATTTGAAGCAACCTGTAGTATGTCCTTGCTGCCTTAGCTCCATAGTGACACACGTGAAACAGCGGATTAGTGCCTGGTTCTTACCCAGGAAAAAGAATAATTCTTTATTATAATAACATCATTGTAAAAAGTAGAAGATCTTCTTCCAAATAACACCTTTTTCAGATAGGGTTTTAAAAAGTTTTGGATGCACTTCCAAATTCCTTCTCTTTTGGGTGCCCTGGCTCTTGCCAGCTTTCCCCTTCCCAGGAGCGTGGTGCCCCCTCTTCCTAGCTGTTCAGGGCTCCCCCAGCAGAATGTTACTTTGCCTGAGAACCCTACTCTCTGCTAGATGACAGCAAATGCAGTGAATTCCTATTATAATTATGACTTTCTTCACTTTGCTGGAAATTTTTGGCATTGCTGTTGATTAGTAGGGAAACATTACTTTTTCTTCCTCTGCTCCTGTCTGCCTTCAAATAGAGTTTTTTATAGTTCTTCTTGTAGTGTACAGACGCCAGGTTGAGTACAGGGCCTGTTCTTGACTTATTGTTGCCTCCAGGCAGAAAGAGATTCCTTTACAACACTATTCCAGTTAAAGACTAGTTGCTGAGCATGATGGCTCACGCCTGTAATCCCAACACTTTGGGAGGCCAAGGCGGGTGGATCACTTGGGGTCAGGAGTTTGAGACCAGCCTAGTCAATATGGTGAAACCCTGTCTCTGCTAAAATACAAAAATTAGCCAGGCGTGGTGGTGGGCACCTGTAAACTCAGGTATTTGAAAGTTGAAGCAGGAAAATCACTTGAACCTGGGAGGCAGAGGTTGCATTGAGCCAAGATTGCACCACTTCACTTGAACCTGGGCGGACAGAGCGAGAGACTGTCTCAAAAAAAAAAAAAAAAAAAAATGTGGAAGGAGTGCACTTCAAGTTGAGAGGGGCCTGTTCCCTCTGCACTCAAAGGCACTGTGCGTGGCTCAGAGCTTGTGAACACAGGTGGTTGTTTAGTACTCACCATGTGGTTGCCACACATGGATGCCTCTCACTGTGTGATGGGTAATTTGAAGGAGGACTCATAAAGGAGGTTTGGGCACGCACCCTATATAAAGAGAGAAGATTTCAACACTTTCTTCTGTGCAGCTGGAAGGAGCTTAAGGAGCAAGAAGATAGTTTGATCTGGAAAACTCCTTTATGAGAAAAATGATGGACTCAGATGCTCTGAGAACATTTGCTGCCTTTTGAGAATTGTGCCTTGTAATATCTGTCTTTCTTTTCTTGCAAAGCCATGATGGCACCGATTCTCCCCCTGATGCTGATGAGGTGGTTATCGTCCTCAACACCTTCAAAAGCAAAATTATTAAAGTGAAGGTGAGTTTGGTAAAAGTAGTGGCATTCTGTTATTAGACAGCTGTCATGTAAAAATATGTATCTTGGAACCAGCCCAAGAGTCTCTGGAATTTGCTGTGGCAATTGTAGAGATACTGCTTTAAGGCAAAATGTCTTCGTAAATGTGAGTTTGTGGCTTTCCTCAACTGAAAGCTGGTACCTTTTGGGTAATCTCAGTGAGCAGAACATGTCCCATTTTATATAAAATGTTTTCATAGATGCTATCTTGTTTATATGGCCACAATTTATAGTGTTGTTGATTATTCTCTCCTCGGGATATTGGGGGAAATGGCAATGAAAATTTTCAACAGTGATAATAAAATGATAGTCCTATTTAATTTCTGCTGACTTCCATTCTCAGAATTTTGAAGTTCTTAGTGCCTTAAATTCAAGTAGAGTATATTCTGGAATAAATACTCATTACACACAGTGAAACCTAAAACAGACTATGCATTGTTGAGCAGAAAAATGGTCACAGTGCTACCGAGAAGCAACCCCTGTTTGTGCTAGTGAATCCTGAAAACTGGTCATTACGTGAAATACCTCCCTCCCAACAGCTGGAGCCCCAGCAACCACACTCTTCTCTGGAACTAGCTGTTGGTCATTGAGTCATGCTTCTGCTTTCACTCAGACTGTATTTCTTGCACAGTTGAATTTGCGGTTCTTTGCCTATGTTGCAAGCTGAAAATGGGGCTGGTCTAATTAAAAGAGGTTGCTCTCTCCTCACATAGGTTATCATGTGAATGTCCTGATGAAGATACTTCTGATGAATCCTTCTAGACTCTGGGTGGGGTTGTGCCTGTTTGTGAGAGAATTGATTAATAATTCTCTGTTAATGGCAGGCTCACAGTGTACATCCAATGAGAGGCAGTTTTATGCCTGTGAGACGTACTGGGAGTAAGGTTTATCACATTTGATTGCAGGTTCAGAAGAAGGCAGACATGGTGAACGAAGACTTGCTGAGTGATGGAACGAATGAGAATGAATCTGGATTTTGGGATTCCTTCAAATGGTAAATTGACATTATAAAGAGTTAGGTTTTTAAGAAAAACTGAGATAGAAACACTACCCATCCCTCCTTTTTGCATCTTGTGATCCTGTCTGGGCCTTTCACATTCTACATTGTGCAGCTACATCTCGCACTTGAATTTGGCATAGATGGGTATTTTACACTTGATTAACCCAAAAGAGGTTCTCCTAATGCAGCAGTTACTTCTGCTCCATACTTTGTGACTCTCACTGCCTGTGCCGGTTCTTCGGAAATTTGACTGCTCCTTGTTCAATTTGTCTCCTGTTGTATAAGTTGCATTCTGGTTCAGTCTCTTCCTAAAGCGACACTGTTGGGGAGTGAATATTCTTTTTGTTTTCCCCATAGGTTGGTTTTGTTGGTCTTGTGCTCTCTCTAGGATGTGAGGGAAGCTTCATAACCACTCCTGCTGCAGCTTATCTGCTAGGGAAGGATGGGAAGCGTCATCTCTTTCCTCTTACTTTAAAAGACTGCGTCCGTACCAGTATTTCAGGTGGTCTTGTTTTTGCCCTTATTGTTATAGGGGCTTTACAGGAGGACAGAAGACTGAGGAAGTGAAGCAAGATAAAGATGACATAATTAATATTTTCTCCGTTGCATCTGGTCACCTCTACGAAAGATTTCTTCGGTCAGTCTTGTTGATTATTTCACTATATATGTATGAATTTGTCAGTGTTCTTATTTAGAGCGAAAAGGTTTTGTGGGATTCTGCTCATTATACTTCTGTGTCTTTGAAGCACTCTGAGCTTTGTGAGTAGCTTGCCATTTATAAATGTATTTGTTTTGATCCCGTCAACTCTGTGAAGTTGAGCTATGTAGTCAGTGCCTCTGGATATCACAAGGCTGTAGCCCTTTAACATCACTGTTAAATAATACACATTCATGGACTGTGCTGTTTACTGCCTGCCAGACATTGCTTAACCCAGAGGTTAGGAGGCTGACATAGAGAATAGAATGAGAACAGAACCATGGAAAAGACTCATAGCATTTTAGAGCTGGGAGACATCTTAGTTCTTAAATATGAGCACTTCTATTTTATAAATAAGCTGAGGCCCCAAGTGTGAAGGGACTTGTCTAAGGTCACACAGCCAGAGCCAGAAGAGGCCATGGGCTAGGGCTCGTTGATGTAGTGGTCACCAAAGGCACTTGGGAGTACCTTGTTACAGTGAGGAAAGCCCAAGAGTGACTTTTCTCATTACCAGGGTTCTGTTCACTCTTAATTTTTCACTGCAGATCTAGTATAGAAAATCAAAATGTCGTTTGTCTTATTTTTAGCCCTTTTATTTCCAAGAAATAATATCCTACCTAAAATAGTGACACTAATAACAACTGAATTTGATTACATTACTCGATTCAAAATGTGGTTTTATTTTCTGAGTAAGGAGGCCTGAGCTGGTAGCCTCCCTCTCTCAAGCAGGGCCCCTGTGTAGGCTCCAGGAGGTGCTGTGATTACACATTCTTCCCTTAGTACCAGTTGCTGCTGTCGCATGACAGGGATTTTTGGAGAGTGATGTCAGTTACCCCAATGTCCAGTGTTCATCCGTACCATAATGATCAGTTCATGAAGCAGTTTATTTAGAGGTGTAACAGAATTAAAACATTTGCCTCTGTCAGTTAAGTGTAGTTTTATAGGTAAGGAATGCCCCTTCTCTTCAGTGATAACTTTATAAGCTAGAATAAGTACATTTTTTCCTTTTCCATCACTGAGCATCTGCCTAATTGAGCCATTAGTTAGCTCTACCATAAAGAGCGTTTAGGTGTCTTGTGATTGACTCTACATAATATTGAGGTTAAAACACGTTGGAAAGCTATTATTATAATCTACTTTTGTTTGGCAGCATAATGATGCTATCTGTGCTGAAGAATACCAAGACATCTGTGAAATTCTGGTTCTTGAAGAATTACTTGTCCCCCACATTTAAGGTTTGTTTCACAGGGAAAGGGAAAACATTCTTATTAAGGAGATATTTACTATATATTTTTGATGACTTCTGTTTTATCTGTATACTTGAACAAATTTTCCATTTACTAAGATACCCTAATTTGATTGCATATTTCTATTTTAATTATTCTTCGAGATTGGTCTATTTGAGGGAGACAGTTAAATTGTGACCTGTTTGAAACTTGGATAATACAGTAGGAGAATCTTTTGTTGTTGCTATTAGGAGCAGTGTCTTACTGAGATAATGTTTTCTTCCTCTGAAGCCTGCATGCCTGCTTTAATGTAGAAAGCACAACAATGGTTTATACTGAGGAGAATGATTGGTGTTAACATGAACCACTCCCAGATGATGTATGGAAGTAATGCTTCCTCTGTGCAAAGCAAAACATGTACTTGAAATGTTTTCTGCATTATTTATGTCGGCCAGTATTTGTCATCTAAGTTGATTTATTTGCATCCTTTTTTTTTTCTGTAGAATTTACTAAATGACGTTTAATATATTCAGTAACCATTCTCCTTGATAAGCACTTTACTGCTGGCCCCCTAAAGGTGCTTGTACTTAGAATCTGAAAGACTTATTCATTAAGGGCAACACATTTGTCCAGAGTTCTGGCTTTGCCATCTTATTCCCTGGGTCAGATCTGGCCTTTAGGAAGGCTTGTCGTCAAGCTCAACAAATGCTTTACTGAAATCAAGTTTAGACAAATGGACTTAAAATATTCATGTGCTGTAAAAACACACACAGAGGGACATAAATCTAAAATCATTCTCTTGAACATTCTGTCATTTCATCTGGTGACCAGAAGTCATAAAGAAATGGGGATTTGGCCGGGTGCGGTGGCTCAAGCCTGTAATCCCAGCACTTTGGGAAGCCGAGGCGGGTGGATCACGAGGTCAAGAGATCGAGACCATCCTGGTCAGCATGGTGAAACCCCGTCTCTATTAAAAATACAAAACATTAGCTGGGCATGGTGGCGCGTGCCTGTAATCCCAGCTACTCAGGAGGCTGAGGCAGGAGAATTGCCTGAACCCAGGAGGCGGAGGTTGCGGTGAGCCAAGATCGCGCCATTGCACTCCAGCCTGGGTAACAAGAGCGAAACCCCGTCTCAAAAAAAAAAAAAAAAAAAAAAAGAAATGGGGATTTGACAGAGGTTTACATCTACTTTTCTATATTGTTATGAGTGGGTTAGGGCCAGTCTTTGTAAGATCACTGTTTTGGTAAATGTGTTTTATTTGTCCTGTATCATGGTGGTTGGCTTACATTATGAAAGCAGTTTTCTCAATCAGAAGAAATGATTATTTGTTGTTCCCCCTGTCTACAAATAGGAGTTCATACCTTACATGGCAAATGAATACAATTTCCAGTATGAGCTTGTTCAGTACAAGTGGCCCCGGTGGCTTCATCAACAGACTGAAAAGCAGCGCATCATCTGGGGTTACAAGATCCTCTTCCTGGATGTACTTTTCCCACTAGTTGTTGACAAGTTCCTGTTTGTGGATGCTGATCAGGTAGGCCCTTAAAGGCCAAGTTTTGACAATTTGTATTGAAAACAACAAATGGCTTATTTCTTTTTAAATGCTCTCTTTTCAGTTATGAAAAAGGACATGCTTATTTTACATTTAGAAAATGTGGAAACATGTATTGCACAAATGTGATCACTTTTTAAATTTGCGTTTAGTTTATCTCCTTTGTATCTTTTTCTGTGTCTTTTTAACATCATTGTCATAACATAATGTGTGCACTTTTGTATCTGACTTAATTCATTTAACACGAAAACTGAAAATTAGAAAATTAGCATTTAGCAGTGCTTGCCATCATTTCTAATTATCTGCCCAAAATATAGAGTTATTGTCACTGGTGATAAACGAAGCTCAAGTGGATGCATGGCTTTGGCAATAGGGAACCTCCGGATATTCTTCCAGCTGTCAGGATTTGACTTACTGAAAGGGAACATATTATTTTAGAGCATACAAACTCAAAACAGCATAACTGTTCTTCTGCCCACATCCTTCCATTTCAGCCCAAGCAGGCAGAAACCTGAGTCTGTCATCTGAATGGAAGGGTGTAATGTGTGTGAAAGTCACTGGGACAGAGGCTTCACTCACCTCTTTGGAATTCTATTCCGCTGGCTCAGCCTGAAGCTTGCCTTCCTAACTCTAACATAGCCACATTTAATCCTTGTTGAGTACTTAAGACGGAAAAGGCATTATTCTACATCTGTCCGTCCGAATGTTAACTTACATATTACTCCTCCCAGCAACCCTGTGACATAGGTACTATCATTATCTCCATTTTACAGATGAAGAAACTGAGGCACAGAAAGGCTAAGCAATTGAAATTTGTTTTATTTCTACTCCCACACACCTTGCCGAGTGTCTTACATGTTAGTGAGGTCAACCAGCTAATAAGTGGAGGAATCAAAGTGTATCCATCGGTAGTGCCTGTACCACTAACCACTGAGCAGCCCTCCATGCTGCCTTAAGTGAGCCACTCTGTATCTTAAGGAAACTGCATTAGAGCTGTCTGCATGGTTGCTTAACAGATGACTTTTGGTATTCTCCAGATTGTACGAACAGATCTGAAAGAGTTAAGAGATTTCAATTTGGACGGTGCTCCTTATGGTTACACTCCTTTCTGTGACAGCCGAAGAGAAATGGATGGCTACAGGTTCTGGAAGTCGGGGTACTGGGCCAGTCATTTAGCTGGGCGAAAGTATCATATCAGGTACTGAAAAGAAGCACTCCTAACACTGTTATGGAGTTTTCCTTAAAATTGATTTTGTGTAGTTAAAATTGTGAATAGGCAATACATTAGTGTGCTTGAAAAAGAAAAATTAAAAAAAAATACACAGTGGCCAGGTGCAGTGGCTCACACCTGTAATCCCAGCACTTTGAGAGACCAAGGCAGGTGGATCACCTGAGGTCAGGAGTGCATGACCAGCCTGGCCAACATGATGAAACCTCATCTTTACTAAAAATACAAAAGTAGCCAGGCGTAATGGCAGGCGCCTGTAATCCCAGCTACTCAGGAGGCTAAGGCAGGAGAATCTCTTGAGCCCAGGAGGCGGAGGTTGCAGTGAGCTGAGATCACACCACTGCACTGCAGCCTGGGCAACAGAGTGAGACTCCATCTCAAAAAAAAAAAAAAAAAAAAAAAAAAAAAAAAAATGCATGGTGTAAAAAAAATTCCTAATCCTGTCTCTCTCTTTCCTACTCAGTTCCTGCTCTCACAACAGATAACCTCCCAACTTATTTACTGTCTATCCTTCCAGATGTTCTTCTTACATAAACAACTGTGAACGTGTATTCTTGTTTTACACAAAATATGCTGCCTATTTATACATTTTGTAACTTGGCTTTTTTTTTCTTAATGTCATATACATCTTCTCAGTATATCGAGAGATACCTTATTCCTTTTCATAGCTGCATATTATTCCAGCGTGTGTGTTATTTATAGTTTTTTCCTATGACCTACAATGTTGCAACGTATAATCTGCTAAATAAATGATTTTTCATATCTCAGATATATTTGTGGGATAAATTCCTAGAAGTAGACCCTTTAGGTCTAACAGTGTGTGCGTTAGATTTCTAATGAGCACTCCATTATTTTCTCTGTGAGAAGTGTGATTTGGAGGATGTGCAGGGAAGAGGAACCTGTAGAAAGTGGCACATGCAGAGATCACTACTGGGGTGTAGTGATTGCAGTTTCCTTCTTTATGTTCCTGGTCCAAAAGAACTGTAAGGACTATAATAACACTGGGGTTTTCCCCTTATAACATTGAAGACATCATCAGGATATCATTGAATAATGCTCATTTACCAGTTACTGTGGCTTTTATTTATTACTGCTGCATTTGCTAGAAATCTTTTGTCAGAGATTCTTTTGGATGACAAATATGGAACAGTGACAAAAGCATAGCACAGTATAAATTTTACAGTGACTTTCTTAGAGATCTTTAAAGTAGCACACTTTAACTCCACTGTAGGGCCACAGCATACCTTTTCAAAGAAAAGCCAGAATATTTGGCTAGTGACCTGTTCCATTACTCAGTGGGTTTAGTTTTCCTGTCATAATCCACGGTTGATTGTAACAAGTGGGTCTTCTTTATTCAGTGCACTATATGTTGTGGATCTGAAGAAGTTTAGGAAAATAGCTGCTGGTGACAGACTCAGGGGACAGTACCAAGGTCTGAGTCAAGATCCTAACAGCCTTTCAAATCTTGATCAAGTAAGTATCCATTTTTTATGGTTAACTTTGAGTGACAGGTATACAGTGTTGCATCAGAAAATGAAGTATTATTTGTGTCTTCACTTCTCTCCTTTCTCAAGATGGTGTCTTGTTTTCTCATGGTGTGTGTGTGTGTGAGAGAGAGAGAGAGAGATTTTTATCTGCCTTCAAGAGTAGATATATCAGCATGAAAAATGTCATAGATCTGATGCTCGTTGGGGAGAGAGATGGAAGGAGAATGCTGCCTCTCTGAACCATTACCATGTCTTTGTATTTTGTACTCAAACTAATCTCATAGATTTGTTTCTCTACCTGCTAGGGTCAATTTGTTTTTCTACTGTAGGAACTAAATAGCTCAGGATTCATAGTATAGAATCACAGTAAAGTATCACAGTTTCCCCCTTTTTTTATGTCAGAAACCATAGTGTATTTAAAGGCTAGCTAAATTACTGTTTGTTAATGTTAAGCATTTTTCAGAGGTGAGATTGTAGTTTAAGGGTTTTAGATACATATTTCACATATTTTAAGCATTTTGTTTCGCTGAAGTCTACTTAAATTTTTTCAAACCTTTATTGTGATATGTAGCATCCATAAAGAAAAGTATATAAAACAAATACATATTCACATACATCCAGGAATTCTTACGAAGCAAATACCCATATACCACAACCTAGTTCAAGAAATAGAACATTATTAACATCCCAGAAGCCACCCTTCCTTCCTAACAAAAGTGGCTAGCATCATGACTTTTATGATAATCATTAGCTTTTCTTTGTGTGTAGATTTACTGTTTAAGAATAAGCATGTATCCTTAAACACTAGTTTAATTTGCTCATTTTCTTCGCCTGTATCTCAGTGGAATAATAAAACTCTTTCTTTCTTTCTTCTTTTTTTTTTTGAGATGGAGTCTCGCTCTGTTGCCCAGGTTAGGGTGCAGTGGCATGATCTGGGTTGCATTCACTGCAACATCTACCTCCCGAGTTCAAGCGATTCTCCTGCTTCAGCCTCCTGAGTAACTGGGATTACAGGCGTGTACCACCATGCCTGGCTAATTTTGTATTTTTAGTAGAGGCAGGGTTTCACCATGTTGGCCAGGCTGGTCTCGAACTCCTGACCTCAAGTGATCCACCCCCTTTGGCCTCCCAAAGTGCTGGGATTATAGGTGTGAGCCACTGCACCAGATGAACTCTTTTGAGTCCAACTTTTGCTCAGCATTATGTTGTGTGATTCATCCATGTTGCTGTGTGTAGTGGTACGTTTTATTTATCCATTCACATTTGGGTTGTTTTCAATTTTGACTTCCATGGATATTGCTACTGTGACTACTCTTGCACGTGTGTACTATTCCAATTGTTTATACAACTACAAGTGGAACTGCTGGGTCATCAGATATGTGTATCTTTAGTAGCCAATTCCAAAGTTTTTCAGCGTAGTTCTAATTTACATTCCCATTAGGTGTGTAAGAATTCCTGTTGCTCCATGTTTTGACCAATACGTATTGGCAGTCTTATTTTGGTGGATGTGAACTGACATCCCATTGTGGCTTTTTATTGGAGAGTTTAATCCATTTACATTTAATGCAATTATTAATGAGGGAGGATTTAGAGCTGTCATTTCTTATTTGTTTTCTATGTGTTACATCTTTTTTGTTCCTCAGTTCATTACTGCCTTGTTTTGTGTTAAGTATTTTCTAGTATATCATTTTCATTTTACTATATCTTTCTGAGTTATTTTCTTTGTGTTTGCTGACAAATTATGTATCTAAATATAATCTCTGAATTATAGAACATGTATTATATACCAACTTGGTCATTATTTATTACCTTTTTTATATATTGCTGGATTCTTTGTGCTAGTATTTAAGATTTTTTCATTTATGTTTTTGTGTGACATTGGTTTGTAATATCCCTATCAGGTTGTTATCAAGGCTATGGTGACTTCACAGAATAAGTTGAATTTTATTCTTTTCCATTTACTTGTAACTGGTTTGTGTAAGATTGGCTTTATTTCTTTTTTTCAGAGACAGGATATCACTCTGTTACCTAGGCTGGAGTTCAGTGGCACAATCATAGTTCACTGCAGCCTCAATTTCCCAGGCTCTAGCACTGCTCCCATCTCAGCTTCTGAGTGGCTGGGACTACCGGCACTCACCACCATGCCTGGCTAGTTTTTTGTTTATTTTTTTGTAGACGTAGAATCTCCCTCTGTTGCCCAGGCTGGTCTTGAACTCTCGGGCTCAAGGGATCCTCCCACTTGGCCTCCCAAAGTGCTGGGATTACAGGCATGAGCCACAGTGCCCGGGTCTACTTACTTTAAAATTTATGTGATACCTGGTATCTTCTAATTGATGGAGCTACTGTGGATCTGATTCTGTTGTATTATTTCTGTTATTCTTTTGTTCATATCGTCTCTCACGTATCTGCTTATTTTCTATAGTGTGTCAGGCATGTTTTTGCAGAATTAGTTTGGGGAATAATTTGAGTTCAAAAATGATACCATCCAACAGTATTTGTTTTGTTTTGTCACACTTTTTTTCAGAAACTTGGGGGCCCTGGCTATCCAGGATTATTTTAATCCATTTTAAGGATTCTGATGACTGGAAGTTGAGCTGCATTTTTCTCAGGCCTTTTTTGGCTTACTCTAAATTGTGATGTGTATTCTTTTGGTATACCAAACCAAAGCAAAGGGTTTCACTAGAACTCCCCTCAACCACCGCAGATCTTATATACAAATCTTCATTACCTCAGGCCTGCGTAGCAGCATAGATCCAGAGGGAAAAACCCAATTCCGGGGTTATCTTTTCTGTTCTTAGTTCTCCCCTCATTTAGTAATTATTGTCTTGTAGTTCTCTGGTGCCTTCAAAAGGTGTATGCTTTTTGTAATTCATTCAGCTATTCTAGTTTTCCTCAGGAGGGGTGCTAGTCTCATTTCTCTAGTCCCCAAATGCTGAAAGTGGAGTTCTACTATTTTTCAAGCAGAGCACAGAGTTGGAACTGATACTGTGTTGATTCAGCTTTCTGTAGCAGTGCCACAAGGTCAACAGTTTGTAAGACTTGAAGTGAAATTAAGATAAATCAAGATGAGTATTTAATACCCTAATCCAGCTTTTTTCTTTTCTTTTCTTTTTTTGAGAAAAGGTCTCTCTCTGTCACCCAGGCTGGAGTGTAGTGATGGGATCGATCATGGCTCGCTGCAGCCTTGAATTCCCTGGCTTAGGCAATCCTCCCACCTCAGCCTCCTGAGTAGCTGGGACGACAAACTCGTACCACCAGGCCTGGCTAATTGTTTGTATGTTTTATGGAGATGGGGTTTTGCCATGTTGCCTTGGCTGGTCTTGGAACTCCTGGACTCAAGTGATCTACCAACTTCAGCAGCTATTTTAAATTTTTGGTTTGTTGACAGGGTTTTGTAGAGAAGTATCATCTATTTTTGTACCATCATGGAACATTTTTTACAAGTATGACAGTTAATAATTTCTGTACATTTCTCTGTTCCATGTAAATCTTAGGACGATGGAACATTTTATTGTGGCAAAGTCAGACGGTCTCCTCAGAAAAAAGGTTTAAAGTATAGAGTAGAATTGGCTAGAAAAAATAATGTCATCTATTTGGGATCAAGTCTCAAGAGACAAGGTAGATTCAAAGCTTCCTTGACAGGAGACTGTAAAATTTACGAACCACCACTCTGTTTAGTTGACTTTCAAAAGTCAGTAGGAGTATTTTTCTTAGGATTGCCCTAATGAAGGGAGGTTTAGGTGCAGGCTCTTTTAAGTTTTAAGCCAAAGCTTTTCAGCTGCTTATTATGAGCAGATATTTTATGGATCCTCTAAAATGTATAGTTTTAAATAATTTCTCTAAGGCTTTGGTGGGGACTTTTTCCATTCTGACCATTTGTGATTAGCATGTGATCCATAATGAGCAGCTGCATCACTGATGCGCTGCATTTGTTTAAGTTCCCCTCAACTGGCTGGGCGCAATGGCTCATGCCTGGAATCCCAGCACTTTGTGAGGCCGAAATGGGTGGATCGCTTGAGTTCAGTAGTTTGAGACCAGCCTGGTCAACATGGCAAAACCTCATGTTTTGTAAAAATACAAAAATTGGCCAGGTGTGGTGATGACCCCTTGTAGTCCCAGCTACTCAGGAAGCTAAGGCACAATAATCTCTTGAACCTGGGAGGCAGTGATGGCAGTGAACCGAGCTCAGCAGTTTGAGACCAGCCTGAGCAACATGGCAAAACCCCATGTTTTGTAAAAATACAAAAATTGGCCAGGTGTGGTGGTAGGCCCCTGTAGTCCCAGCTACTCAGGAGGCTGAGGCACAAGAATCTCTTGAACCTGGGAGGTGGAGGTTGCAGTGAGCTGAGATCACACCACTGCACTCCAGCCTGGGTGACAGTGAGACCCCATCTCTAAATAAATAAATAAATACCACCAGAACTTTAGATACATGTGTTTTATTATTATTTTTTTTATTATTTACCAAACAGGATCTGCCCAATAACATGATTCATCAGGTGCCAATTAAATCCCTCCCTCAAGAATGGCTTTGGTGTGAAACGTGGTGTGATGATGCCTCTAAGAAAAGGGCAAAAACCATTGATTTGGTAACTGAGTCATGATTAATGACTTTTATTTAGATTCTTTAGGAATTTCCTAGCTTCTTATTTAGACTTTCTCTGTAATTGTATAGTTTGTTGGGGCTGTGTGTAAGGTTAGCTGAGAGAAAGGAGAGTAGACCATTCCAGCCTTTTAATAGGTAATAGAAGAGGGGCGCTGTTGTCATCCATCTGCTTCTTGCTGGATAGGGTTGATGTTTGGGGAGAGGCCAGATTGTAGGGATTGTCTTTCCTGGAGCTGTTGCTATTTTTGGAACAGCATCATGTCTTGTATTGTTCCATGGGTGAAAGCTTTAATACAGTCCTGTAAAAACTGGGTGAGGAGTCGTAAGAGGCAGGGGCCAAATGCTAGAAGGAGGGAAAGGGTTATGGTAGGACCCAGGAGGGGCAGTAGTCAAGGTGCCCAGGAGTTATGGAACCACTGGGGCCAGATGAACTGACTGTCTTTAAGTTTTTATGCTCGGTCTTTGAGCTTTTTGACAGCATCTCATACTGGCCCAGATTGATTGAGGTAGAAACAGCATTGTTTATTTAAAAAGAGGCACAGACCTCCTTTTTCAGCGGTGAGGAGGTCTAGGCCTCTGCAGTTTTGTAGGATGACTGCTGCTAAAGAGATTAATTGGTTTTGGAAGTGAGTGATAGAGTTTGCTATTTATTCTAGTGACGATTGGAAGTCTTGGGAGAGTGACTGGAAATATGATATTGAGGTTCCTAGGCGTCCTGCTTTTAACCTGACACTAGTTGTCACTCCAAGGGCTACTAATAAGGGAATGAACTGTATTGCTTTTTTTTGAGCGAGCGTGTAATGTAGCAGGGACGAGAGTTCTTGGTTTGGAGACTAGGTTATTGTTGGGGGTAAGGTAGACTGGGGGCAAGTACCTCTCCAGTTGGTAGGGAGACAGAAGTAGGTTGTGGATCCGCAGAGGAAGAAGGTAAGATGCCTGCGGTGTTAATGCAAACAGACAAGTGGATTGAGAATAGGTATTGGAGTGTGTAGATTCCTCGTTTGGAGGGGCTTGGTTCAGCTTCAACAACTCAGAGTGAGGAAGAGAGAGAGACCCCTTTGAGAACTTCTATCTGGCGGGGGGGTGGTGGTGAGGTTTCCATGTTTGAGAGGCAGGAAGGGAGGTCATGCGGAGGGGCTGGTTAAAGAGTCAGTTAGCTTCAGGGGAAACTGAATAATCTACTCGGAATGAGGTATGGGAAGAGAGATGAGAGATGGTTTGAGTTGAGCCACAGGCAGAGGGAGGGATGGTGCCTACGTGTATGTGTCTGTTGGAAGAGATAACACATAAGAATGGGACCTTGGATAGCAGGGTGAGGGAGTTTTGTATGGTTGTAATTGGCAGTGTATATGGAGAGAAGTTTGGTAGCTCCGTTAGCGAGGGCAGTGGGATAGTTTCCAGTGAGGGTGAGGACTCTGTCTACCAAAGGCAGAGCCTTTTTGGACGGTGTATGAAATGCAAATGGGAATATGGTCCCAGGGCTGAGAAATTGGGATGTTTGAGTAAGCAGTAGAAGAAAGGGAAAAACAGTCCAGCGATGGGAAGCAAGTGTAGAGTTGGAGCACAGTAACAAGGAGTGAGTGAGATGGAGAGATCATCTGAGCCTTGTAGACGTGAGAAGGGACTTTGAGGGAGCAGAGGTAGTGGGGTTGACTATTAAAAGAGTTAGGAGCTTGAGGAAGAATCGGAGTCTCTATCTGGGGGAAGGAGTTGGTAGGGGCTGTACTGGGAGGTGGCCTCTTCTAGAGGGCCTGTGAGGTGGCTGATAGCATCCCATGGATAGTCAAATTCTCCTTGCAAATGAGCAATGAATAGGTAGGTGAGTTAAGACTTTTCTATGTGTGGGAATGGGGAGAGAGGAGAAGACTTCTAATATTTGGTATGCTGTCGGGAGTGGGTGGGGGGCTGTTCCTTGTCATGAGGACCTTGGCATCTGGAGCAGGGGTGGAGGTGAACTATGAAGGAGTTACCGCTCATGGGTCTTCCTTGGGGACGGGCATAAGGCGGAGTTCGGTTGGAATAAGGAAGGTGCTGGAGAATCGGCAGAGGATGGCAGTTGGCAGGTCAGTGGGCGCTTCAGGAGCTCTTTTTAATCTAGAAAGATGGTACCAAGAGATATGTCCTGACAGTTTCGCTGTGGTGGGGATTGTGAGAAGAACTTGAAAGGGACCTTCCCACTTTGGTTTAAGGCTTGCTGGGTTAAGAGTTCTTAGGAAGACATTTCTCCTGGTAGGAAGGTCTGGTTGGTAGGGCCTTTGTGGAGCTTTGGGAGAGCCTAGTCTGCTTCTTCATGGAGGAGACGGTGGATGAGGAAAAGTATTGGAAGATATTCTCGTAGCTAAGAGTTAGAAAGGGGCCTGTTTTGTAAGAAGAGAGGGCGTCCATACATTAACTCAAATGGGCTGAGGAAGGAGGGTGCTTTTGGGCTGGCTCTGATGTGGGCTAGGGCTGTGGGCAGAAGGGAGGTCCAGGGTTTCTGGACTTCAAGAGTGAGTTTCGTTAATTGAGCTTTAAGGACCCCATTTGCCCTCTCAACTTTTCCTGATGACGGGTCGGTATGGGGTGTGGAGGTGTCACTGGACGCCGAGGAACTAAGAGACTTGTTGGGTGATTTGGGAGATGAAGCTAGGGCAGATGTCTGATTGTATGGAGTGAGGGAGACCAAATCTAGGGATGATTTCTATGAAAAGAATTTAGGAGACCGCTGCAGCTATTTCTGAGGAGTTGGGAAAGGCTTCTACCCATCCGGAGAAGGTGTCTATAAGAGTAAGAAGAAACTTAGTCTTTTTACCAGGAGGCATATGGGCAAAGTCTATTTGCTAGTCTTCCCTGGGACTGTTCATCTTAGCTGATGTGTAGGGATAGGAGAAGAGAGGAGAGCCCCTTGGGAGGAAGTGGCACAGCATATATGACAGTTTGAGGTTATGTCTTTGAGTGGGTAAATAGGTGGGGGAAGAGAAATAAAGGCAAAGGAGAAGATACAAGGGGTGTGCACCAATGTGGAAGGACTGGTGAAGGGATGTTAGACTTTCTTTGGTTTGTTCTCAGGGAGGATGAGGTTTTGATCTTTGACTATCCAGTTCCCTTGGAAGGAAACCCCTTGTTGTGACAAGGGCAGCAGGAGAGGGCATCCCCTGTCCTGCAGGTCCTGTCTGGAATAGAGGAGGTAGCCACCGAGTCAGACACCCCTAAGATGGAGGAACTGGAGGCCTGGAGGCCGGAGGAATCCCTAGGCCCAGCGCTGGGTCTTTTGAAAAGTCAGAGATGGTCAAGGGTTCCAGGTAAACGGCAAGAGTGTCTCCTACCCCGGCTGAGGCTCTGATGGTGGATGAGGTCACCAGCAATGGGAGAATCTGGGAGATCCTCTGGGTCTTCGGCAGGTTCGGGAAGGAGGAGGGTTGGCCGAGAGAGAGGCGATAGGAGAGGGAGAGAGAAAGAGCGAGTCCCTTAAGGATGCCTGGCCAGAGCCTACCCCTTTCCAGGTTTCGGCACCAAAATGTAAGGTTACTCAAGAGAAAGGGGAGTAGACCCAAAGTTAGGCAAGCAAGTTTTATTAACCTGCCAGGCTGCTCTGTAACAATCAGAGGAGACAATCCGGAGCTTACAAACCTAGGGGTTTATGTGGGGTGAGAGGGGCATAAGGGAGTTTTAGGACTCAGATAATCCATTAGCTTGTAACAGGCACAGAGATAGTTTAACTTCCTGTGACTTTGTGGTGGCAGTTTTAAAAGACAAGATTTTACAGTATGTATAAAACAGGAATTTACAAGTATGGATAACAAACATTTGTTTTCCCTGTCCTCCCCCAAGCTGCCCAAATGGCTGTAATCAGGCTTTACTCAATTTTAACACGTCTGGCAGCCTTGATTTGGTGCCTAGATAGAAGTTCAGAAATGCAGCTACAGAGCACTCAGAGTGGGGAAAAGGGGGTCAGCTTACGCCGGGTTAAGAGGGGGTTTTCTGAGGCAGCTTGTCGGTGAAACTGTGGACTTATAGAATATTTCAGTGTTTTTTTTTTCCCCACTTACATTAGGAAACCAAATCCCCTAGCATTTAATGGGACTGTTTTCACAACTTAGAATCTGCTGAGTCATTCCTTAGCTTCCAGTTTATCTCTGTGCCCTGTAATTTTGGGCTTTTACGTTTCCTGCCTTCCAGTAGCCACTCATAGGTTCTTTGTAGATGTAAATACAGCTTTACATAGCCCACTACCATATTGCTTCTGGTAGTATATCATTTGGTTCCTAACTGTTGTTTTTTTGTCCAGTTAGGACTTGTAACCCAAGAACCTTTGAATTCTCTATTATGTAGCCTTTCTTCAACTCAGTTGAAGTGTGTTCTTTTGACTTTCACAGTGTAATAATCCAATGACCAAAGAGCCCAAACTGGAAGCAGCTGTGCGAATTGTCCCAGAGTGGCAGGACTACGATCAAGAGATCAAACAGCTACAGATCCGCTTTCAAAAGGAGAAAGAAACAGGAACACTGTATAAAGAGAAGACAAAAGAACCAAGCCGAGAAGGTAAGCACAAATCATTGGCTTTAGGTCAGTACTTCTTTCCATTTATGATTTCTGCTTGTTGTAAAGACAGTAGAATAATGAATAAATGGAAGAGAAAAATCTCCCATTAATCCTTCCATTCTGGCATCAGTATATGTTTTTCATTTTCCTTTTATGTTGGTCTTCTTTTTTTTTTTTTTTTGAGATGGAGTCTTGCTCTGTTACCCAGGCCGGAGTGCAATGGTGCTGTCTCGGCTCACTGCAATCTCTGCCTCCCAGGTTCAAGTGATTCCCCTGCTCAGCCTCCTGAGTAGCTGGAATTACAGGTGACTGCCACTGCACCCAGCTAATTTTTGTATTTTTAGTAGAGATGAGGTTTTGCCATGTTGGCCAGGCTGGTCTCGAACTCCTGACCTTATGATCCACCTGCTTTGGCCTCCTTAAATGCTGGGATTACAGGCATGAGCCATCGTGCCTGGCCTTATGTTGGTCTTCCAAACAGTATTTATTAATGCAATTACTATCTTTTTTTCCTCTTTTTCTGGTAACAGGGATAAAGAGTATTTTAATTGTGACTATTGTTATTTAGGTTCATGAGTTTTGTGATACATAAACCGAACCTTTTGCAGATTTCTTGTCTGATTCTTTGTTTTTTTCATTAAATCTATCAGTATACTAGTGAATTAATAAATTTAGATCTAGACAAGTATGTATTTGAAATTCTTTTTTTTTTTTTTTTTTTGAGATGGAGTCTCCCTCTGTAACCCAGGCTAGAGTGCAGTGGTACAATCTAGGCTCACTGCAACCTACACCAGGTTCAAGCAATTTTCCCTTCTTAGCCTCCCGAGTAACTGGGATTACAGGTACCTGCCACTGTGCCCAGATAATTTTTGTATTTTTAGTAGAGACGGGGTTTCACCATTTTCGCCAGGCTGGTCTTGAACTTCTGACCTTGTGAGCCACTGCCTGACATTGTGAGCCACCGTGCCTGGCCTCTTTTTTTTTTTAAAGACAGACTCTAACTTTGTCACCCAGGCTGGAGTGCAGTGGCATGATCTTGGCTTACTGCAACCTCTGCCTCCCAGGTTCACATGATTCTCATACCTCAACCTCCCAAGTAGCTGGAATTACAGGCATGTAGCACCACACCCAGCTAATTTTTTATTTATTTACTTATTTTTAATTTTTTGTAATTTTAGTAGAGATGGGATTTCACCATGTTGCCCAGGCATGTCTTGAACTCCTGACCTCAAGTGATCCACCCGCCTCAGCCTCCCAAAGTGCTGGGATTACAAACGTGAGCCACTGCACCTGGATGAAAATGTATTCTTTAAAACAAACATGTTGGGAAGGAAATGGAATGCTTGTATTTAGTTTAGTGTAAGAATAGGAATTTAGTCTTTAATGTTTTCCCTATTGTGTGTGTCTTGAATAAGCTGGGCTCTAGATTTAAGAAAAAATTTAAATTTATTTACTTTTAAATTGTCACATAATAATTGTACATATTTATGGAGTACATAGTGATATTTTGGTATATACATGGGCTCTGGTATTTTAAGATTTATTCTGCTTTAGACTAATTCTAAAGAAGTGGCTGGGTATAGTGGCTCCTACCTGTAATCCTAGCCTCTCAGGAAGCTGAGGTGGGAGGATTGCTTGAACCTGGGAGGTCAAGGTTGCAGTGAGCCCCTGCACTCCAGCATAGGTAACAGAGAGAGACTCTGTGACAGAGCAAGACCCTGTCTCAAGATCAATCAAAAAAAGCAGTTGCAGAACATGGATCTTGAGTGATTTGCCTATACATCCCTCAGACTATACCATGATATTAAATATCACATCTGGAAGGTTATATAGTAACCATAAAAGTAATTAATTCAGATTCATCAGTTAAACCTTGAGGATTTCCATAGATAAACGGGCAAAGAATGTGGGCACACGTTCAAGTAAGAGGAAACACAAATAATAAATGAATTTGAGGAAACAGTAATCAAATTAAAGCAATCTGTTACTAATATCTGCTACGTGGAAAAAAACAGACATAGTGATAATGCCATTTGTTTGGGAGATGGTGATGAAACTGTTGTGAACCTTGATGAAGCTTTGTGTGTTAGAATAGCCCTTGTTAAAAAGCAGTGTATCTGCCAGTAGGAGCCTTTAAGGCGTTTATACCCTCAGTAATTCCTCTCTTGAAAATATGCCTTCAAGAAATAATTCAACAGAAAAAAAAAGTTATATGCATGAAGAAATTTATTTTACTATTACTTACAAGCCAAAAGCATTAAAAACAGTTTAAACATCCAAGAATGAGCTATAATGATACATAGAAAATGCCCATATGCTATTAAATGATAAAATAAAAATTCTGACTAAAAAATACATGCATATTTACTGAAAGTAAATTTACTGAAAGTAAATATTGTATTTGTGAAAACAATTCCTTTGGAGTGGGATTTACGGATAGTTTCTGTTTTTTAAAAATCCTTAATTTAGTTTTTGCTTTTAAAATAGAGTACAAAAACACCCAACCAAGCTCCCAAAGATTTAATAAGTGAGATAAGATGGAGGTGGAGGCACAAAAAATAGGTTACAGTGATGAAAAATGCCCACTTGGTGGTGGTTATAATTTGAAGATCATCTGTTTTCTTTTCTGTGGTTCTTTTTTTCCTTAGGTCCTCAGAAACGTGAAGAATTATGATCTCTGGAAAAGGATAGGAAATTATCCCATTTGAAAAACAGTTTTTATACTAAATGCTAGTTTTTTCTTACCTGTCTATACAACTGCTGATAAACTGGCTGGGCAGGAGTGCCATACCTTTTGATTCTGAGCATTTGATTCTGACTTCTGCACTCCAGTGGGCGTTGAATCTTTGGGATTAAGGCTCTGTTGGATTTGTACCTCAGAGGAAGACCAAGTGGCTGTTCTTTTGGACTCTGTAAGGAGCATTCTTCTAGTCAGAGGATGGAATGGCAGCAGCAACTGGAAGAAAATGAGTCTTTTGGTGCCTACACCCAAGAGTACACACATGCTGCACTGTGTCAGAAAGCAGGCCAGCTGGAGCCTCCATGTTCTTCCTTACCTCAGTTTACCTGCAGCCTGCACTGTACTGCAGGTGCCCACTCTGCCCTGGGTTTGGCCGGGAGAAGCTCTGTTCAAGGCCCACACGCCTCCAGGTTTATGCCAACGTGCTACTTGTGCCCTCCCCACCTTCTCTTCCCAAGCATTAGGTGCATTAAGTGAAATACAACCAACATGGTGTGTCAAGGCTGGTTCGGTGCAGTGGCTGGGCAGATTAATTTGGGGCCGTGATGGGGGTAGGTTGCAGTGAGGGTAGGGAAAATCCCAGGAGTAGGAAGGTTCTGGGGTGATGGGAAGGGAAGGAAGACCAAGAGCTGGCCATTCCCTTTTATAAATCATTAGTAGCATCATGGCTCATTTGAAATGAAAGCATTACTCTTATTCCCCAACCAACTGCAGTGAACTTTCTAGGTAATTGTTTTGTAAACAATTTTTGTATTTGTGAATGTCTTTGCTTTTTCTTTCCACTTTCTAAAAAAGTCTGATATCAATTTCCTTACTGGATACAGCCATACTAAGCCCCTCTCATATCCAGTCCGTAGGGGTCAGGCCCCATCAAGACGAGCACCACATTGTCTGTCCTCTCCTGTGGAGGATTTTCTCTCAGACCCAGGGGAAGTTGCCTTGAACTTTTCTCTGCAGATGCCCTCCGATCTAAGACCAGGAACAATTCTGCCCATGGAACTCATGGCTTCCTGTCCTATTTTCCTATATCTGAGCACCGTAGGTTACCTTTGGTGCCCACAGCAGTTCTATCTTCATGTTGTTGCATCATGAAGCCCCATTAGCCTTTAGTCCCTGCTTTGTGTGTCTTTACTTCCATAGTCATTAGTGCCCCTTGGGGCAGCCTCTGCTGGCGAACAGGCTGCAGAGTCTTGGATATGTTGTTGGCCTGAGTAGGCGTGAGGCCCTGGCATCCGACTCCATCTGCCAGCCTGCAGGGCACAGCAGCACTGGCATAGACAGGCACGCTCTGTCTTCCAACGCACACTGGCCTTTTCTTACATATTTTGCTTGTTTTTAAAAAATATGCGGAGAGGGTGCAGATGGATAGCTGTACCCTCACCCTTCTAAGCCAGGTAATATATTGACGTGCAGACTTTTAAAGAAATCATAGTCTTATCACAAATATCATGTAATTTATTTTTTTCCATTTTCAATGCAAAAGTTAGCCTAGGAAGCGTCCCATTCATCCCGAAGGACCTTTTGACTTTGCTTTTATAATTCCATTAAAAATTGAGGAGGGGATTAATGGTACAATGAAAAAAAAAAATTAAGGAGAGGAGAGCTCAAAAGAGGATAAGATACTGAAAAGGTACCTGAGAATGGCCACTGTTGATAGTCTGTAGCATGACTTCCCCCACTCTGCCCCTCTGGTCAGAGCAGCTGGAGAGATGGGATCAGTGAGATTAAAAAACTTGTGTTCACGCTGCATCTTCACACTGAATGAAACCTTCAGAGAGGTGATGGCTGCTGTCCACAACGGTGGGCAGAAGCGTGCCTTTTCTAAGTTTCTTTTCCAGAAGGTTGAACGGGGGATACTTGAGTCTTTACTGGGATATATGCTTTCCAAATGCTGGCCCCATGGAACCTTTCCCCCATGTCTCTCTACCAAGCCTCTTATGTTTATTCTGTAGACCATGCTCTCTGTGTGGTGTGCACGTCCTGGTGTCACTCATTGCCTCTTACCTGTCACCACCCTGCCATAAGTCTGCTTAATTGTTGACTCTGACCCAGCATGCTTCCAAAATGGTCTAGGACCCTCCTCCTCCTGTAAGTTTCTTTTTTTGGTTCATGTGGCATAATCATCTTTCAAAATTAACCAAATGTTCCCGAAAATGATGTTACCACTAAAGTATTGTCTCTAAGGAGGCATACTGTGATGGAAAAGATAGGTAAGAGATTTTTTTCCAACAAGTAAGAATTGATTCTGCTGAATGTTCAAACTCTGGAAACTGTTCACAGTATGTTGTTCTTAGCCATCATTTATATATAATGAATTGTTTTTTCTCTTAATCATGCCATAGTGGAAACTTTTGTTTCTGAATAAGAGACAGAGTAATATGAAATAATGTGATATGTCAGAGTGACATGCAGCACCGTCAGCCTATTTTTATGTTCTGTGAACAGTGGCATTCGATTGAGATCAAAGCCTGTCACAGCCTGCTGCTGGGGCTGTGGGATATGCCAGGGTACTGTGTTTGCTTTTAGAAGTTTACTGAATGTTTACCACATGGAGAGTGATGGATGACGTGTTAGTTTCTCTAAGAGGGATAAAGTTGTGCGTCTACCAATGTTGCATTTCAGATTGAACACATAGATGCTTGCCTGTCTACTTGGGTGAATGCCTCTTGGCAGGGCAAAGATTACATGCATGATGTATGTTAAGAAACAGTTTCCAGAAATGGAGCTTAATTTGCTCTCCTCTCCTTAAGCCCCTGTGTTTGTTGTTTTTTTCTTAAGTCTCATTCTGTTGCTCAGGCTGGAGTACAGTGGCACAATCTTGATTCACTGCAACCTCTGCATCCCAGGTTCAAGCGATTCTCCTGCCTCACCCTCCCAAGTAGCTGGGATTACAGGCGCCTGCCACCATACTCGGCTAATTTTTGTATTTTTACCATGGGGTTTTACCACGTTGGTTAGCCAGGCTGGTCTTGAACTCAGGTGATCTGCCTGCCTTGGCCTCCCAAAATGGTGGGATTACTGGCTTGAGCCATGTCCAGCCAAAGCCTCGTGTTCTGAACTTTGTCGAGGTCTGCCTGAATGAGCTTTCATCTGATCGTGGGGACCAAGTCCCTGAGTGGAGGGCCAAGAGCTAGGGATAGGGGATCAGTGTGTGGAGGAGACCCAGGTGGCAGGGAAGAAAGAACTCCCAGAGTTTCCTTTAGTCAGGAAACCTACTCTACTGACCCCATGACCTGGACAATCAGACACAACCCTGATAATGACAAGTGTAAAATGATTCCCTTTCTCTCCCACCCTCTGGAATTATATTTAGATACTTGAAAGCAATCATTTTCTAAAATTGCCATACCTAGTTTGGCCTGAATGATTAAAATAAATAACTCAAGAGTTACAGGAAAAAAGAAAAAGAGTTACAAGGGAATTGTAGTCTATTTCTCTGAATATAATGCTTGTACTGTGGTATTTCATGGAAATGGAAATGTATTGGTAAAGCCACCTGATGGAAGCTTTCTCTTGGTAACAAAAATGGAGGGTGTATTATGTGCAGAGTTATCTAAATATGTGCATTATATTGTTGTGTATTTTTTTTTTTCTGAGACAGAGTTTTGCTCTTGTTGCCCAGGCTGGAGTACAGTGGCGCTATCTCAGCTCACTGCAACCTCCACCTCCCGGGTTCAGGCGATTCTCCTGCCTCAGCCTCCCCAGTAGCTGGGATTACAGGCACCTGCCACTATGCCTGGTTAATTTGTATTTTTAGTAAAGACAGGGTTTCACCATGTTGGCCAGGGTGGTCTCCAACTCTGACCTCAAGTGATCTGCCCTCCTTGGCCTCCCAAAGTTCTAGGATTGCAGGAGTGAGCCACCATTCCCGGCCTAATTTTTGCATTTTTAGTAGAGACTGGGTTTCACCATGTTGGTCAGGCTAGTCTCGAACTCCTGACCTCAGGTGATCCACCCACCCCAGCCTCCCAAAGTGCTGGCTAGAGTTACAGGCATGAGCCACCATGCCTGGCCCATTGTTGTGTAATTTTAATAATTAGTTTTTTAAGTACTTGATTTTATGGGCACATTTTTATGGGATGATTGGAGTTAATCAAATATAGCTTGTCATGTGTCTAGTCTGGTAAGATAACTTCTAAATTCATGTTTTCTCTGCCTTGAGGTAGTGAGGGAGAGATCTTAATCAGGATTTTGGTAATTAGCTGATTGAATTCAAGCAAATGAGACATCATGAACTGCAGTGGTATTGATATTTCAGGGTATATACCTGAAATACCTGGAGGATACAGATTTCTCATTCGTTATTTGGTCTTTCATTTCTCTGTATACAGAAATGACACTTCTGGAAGGCAGTAGTGGCAGGGAGTCAATGAATTGAGTAGAGGGTCCCATCCCTCAGGCTGTCATTGAGCAGTGACAGTTTTTAAAAACAAACCGAAAAGTCTGTGGAAGTGGCCACATGCTCTCTAGAAGGAGCACATAAAGCTCCATGGTCAAGATTTGCAAGCAAGAGGTCCTCTCCTGAGTCTTTCCCAGGTACCCAGCAGCGCAGAGCCAGCCATGGAAGGTTGCAGTGGGACAGGAGTGTACTGTATGCCTTGCCTTACTTGTCACCATTGAGATTTCCAGAGAAATGGGCAGAGCGCCTTTTAACAGCAACAACAAAAAGCAGAATATATTAACCTAAGGTCAACAGCAAAGATTATCATCAAGTACCATGTTTTCCAACCAACCAGTTATTCATGGTAATAACAAGATAAAGGTGGGAAAATGTTAGAATTTTTCAGGAAACTACTTTGCAAATCTTCATGAACATCTGATTTTACTGTAATTCTTCTCCATTAAATGCAACAATGTGTTCAGGTGCTGCCCCTTGCTTGGGAACAGCATTGGGGTTTTAAATGTCCGCAGAATCTCTGCATCTGAAGGGAATTAAGAAAGAACTTCCTGGTACTGTAATGAAAATAAGGTCTGCTCAACACAATAAACTTTTCCTCTCTTCTTTAAAACTGTGCAGTCATTCAGCTTTTGTGTTCAGAAGGGCAAACTGATAGAGTGCAAAGTCCAAGCCCTTTATCTAGCAGAAGCTGCAAACCGGGACAGAAGAAGGAGGGCTTTACCTAAGTCTTGTCTGCTGCTGGGGCTGGCTTTGGGTTGCATCCAGTCCTTTGGATTCTGAGGATGGCACCTAGGTCACTTCTCGGTCCTCAACCTCTGGGAGCTGCCCCAGGCAGGCATAACAGGCAAGGTGAGAGGGGGAACCTCAAGGCAAGAATGGTGTCATGAGACCCCTGGACCTGGCCTTGCCACGGAGTTCCTTAGGAGGGTGGCATGGACTTTTCATTTTGCCAGTTCCCTGAGCTCCTCTGGAGTGGATATGCATTGAGGATATGGACTCTGTGTGACGATGGAGAGGGGAGGGAGGACCACCTGGTGCCTGTGAGGGCACAAGAGTGGGCCCTGAGGTTCAGGAACAGGGACTTGGTGGTCAGGAAAAGCTGTTACAAGGAGCTGATGCTTAGGTCGAAGCCTGAAGACTAAGTAGGGGCTATCCCTGTGGGCGAGGGGTGGGCAGAGAGGGAGGAGCTTGAGCTAGTGTGTATCTCATGGAAGGAGCTGCGTGGAAAACTGCACACGGCCAGGAGAGGGAGACTGGGTTTGATCTTCGGGGCACAGGAAGGTCCCAGAGGGGGTTTAAACTGGGTGCTGGCACACAATGGGTTTTTTCTTGTAATAAACTTTTTGTTGAGATCTATAGCACAAATTGAAAAGTACATAAACTCACACCTTGACAGATTTTCACAAAGTGAGAGCTCTTAAATGTCCATCACCCAGATTAAGAAAAGAAAGTTGGAGTTTATTTTAACACTTAAACATCTGATTACAATCTGGCTTCCAGTAAGGGCAGAGCAGCTTGTATCAGACCAGCCTACTCCGGATCGTTACACACGCTATTGAAATGATGGAAATGCACTGCAGCCTGCTGAGATACAGGCAAGAGAGGGAGGGGAGCAGCCTTCAGAAGACGGGAAGCACATTGGGTAAGATCCACATCCAAGTGGCTGTTCCTCATGTGGCTCACAGGGAGTAAAACAAAAGGTGGCAGTCTGACTAGGCCCAGGTGCCAAGTCACTCAGGACATTCTTGGCAGCTGCAGACTGGTGGGGGGCCACATCCAGAAAGGAGGAAACCATAGAAGCCCCCAACCTTGCCTTGCATAGTCTCGTTAAGTTCTTGGCGGGCTCCTGTATTGTACGTAAACAGGGCAGGATTCCAAATGAAAAGCCACACTTGGAAGGCTGGAAAAGCTGAGCGGAGATTTCAGAATATGTCTGGTGCTGGGGAGAAGAAGTTTATAATTCATGTTCCATCAAATTAGAGGGATGTGGTAACTATTTCAGGCTATTAAAAACCCAGGGTGTAGGCCTTAGGATTAGGACCACATCACAGAACTCAAATCTAGGGTCTAGGACTGAGGGCAAAACTAAAACAGGCCTACCCGTATACAGCCTAAAATTAAGGCTTCACAGATTCAAGGTGATCACTAGTAACTGAACTCTACTAGAACAGTTTTTATGGGTGAGGGGGAAAACAACTGAATCCAGAGTCTCTATAGTATATTACTGAGAATGTCCAGTATATAATCACATCAGTAGGCATGAGAGGAAGTGGGAATATATGACATGTAATCAATAAAAAAAAATCAGGATGGGCACAGTAGCACACACCTGTGACCCCAGCACTTTGAGAAACCGAGGTGGATGGACTGCTTGAGCCCAGGAGTTCAAGACCAGCCTGGGCAACATGGTGAAACCCCATCTCTAGAAAAAATACAAAAAATTAGCCAGGCATGATGGTGTGTGCCTTTTGTCCCAGCTACTCAGGAGGCTGAAGTGGGAAGATCATTTGAGCCCGGGAGGTTGAGGCTGCAGTGAGCTGTGACAGTGCGATTACACTCGAACCTGGGCAACAGAGTGAGACCCTGTCTCAAAAAAACAAACAAAATCAAAACCACCCATAGAAAACCAAGGAGTTGAAATCATTCAATAAGAATGTTAAAATGATTATAAACATTTTTCTTAGACTTAAATGGATGCTTTTTTATTGCCTTTTGAAATGTCCTGAATTTGTCTGTGTGTGTACAGTATTATTTTTTAATTCAATTGACAAAGATTGTGTATATTCAAGGTACATAATGTGATGGTTTGTTATACCTGTGCATTGTGTGATTATCACCACTGAATTAGCACACCCATCCCCGGCCGTGCTGCAGAACTTTTTTTTTTTTTGAGACGGAGTCTCACTCTGTTTCCCAGGCTTAAGTGCAGTGTTGCAATCTGGCCTTACTGCAACCTCTGCCTCCTGGGTTCAAACAATTCTCCTGCCTCAGCCTCCCAAGTAGCTGGGATTACAGGCACCTGCCACCGCACTCGCTAATTTTTGCATTTTTAGTAGAGAGAGACTTTCACCATGTTGGTCAGCCTGGTCTCTAACTCCTGACCTCAGATAATCCGCCCATCTTGGCCTCCCAAAGTGCTGTGATTACAGGCGTGAGCCACTGTGCCCAGCTCCCCGGAACTTATCTTTAAACTGAGAGTTCATACTCTTTGATCAGCATCTTCCCATTTCCCCATGTGCAGAAGAAAAGTCAGTGAACTTGAAGACAGATTAAAGAAAATATCTAAATTACAAAATAGGGGGTGGATCACAAGGTCAAGAGATCGAGACCATCCTGGTCAACATGGTGAAACCCCATCTCTACTAAAAATACAAAAAATCAGCTAGGCATGGTGGTGCGTGCCTGTAATCCCAGCTACTCAGGAGGCTGAGGCAGGAGAATTGCCTGAACCCAGGAGGTGGAGGTTGCAGTGAGCCGAGATCGCGCCATTGCACTCCAGCCTGGGTAACAAGAGCGAAACTCTGTCTCAAAAAAAAAAAAAAAAGGAAGAAAAGATTGTAAAATAAATAAATGAGCAGAGACTCAATAAACTGTGAGACAGTGTAACAACTACCCAACTAGAATCCCAGGATGGGAGAGAAAATGTGGCAGAAAAAAATATATGGAGAAATATTGGCCAAAATTCTGTTGGTTTTTTAAAATTGCGGTCTTATCCGGTTTTGAGGCCCTAGCTTTGAGGTCCTGGCTAAAGGGCAGTCAGTCCTCTGGAGTAGCCAATCAAGTTTACATACATAACTACCTCCTTTCTTGGGCTCAAGCTCTGGGCCAGCACCCTGACACCCCTGGGCAGTACCAGACAACCTGCAACAGCCCCTGTGGCCCAGCGCCTGCTGAGATTATTCCAGTCAGTCTCACTCTGCTGACCCTGCCTCACCTGTCCTTCCTGGGAAACACCATAAGGGGTCTTACCCATATTCCCCTGCTCACTGTGCCCCATAACTGGTGGTTGCTTCCACTGAGTGGCTGTGCGTGGTGGGCCGTTTCTCCTCAGGGAACAGAGTACAGCATGTCAGATGTACCATTTCTCTCTTGATCTGCATCTGGCCTCATGGAATCACCACTCCCTCCTCTTAAAAGCAGGATGAATATAAAGAAGGCCACACCTAGATGCATCATAGTCAAATGCTGAAAATTAAAGATACAATCACAAAAAAGTAGTAGCCAGGAAAACAAAAACACCGGATGTGTAGGGGAACAAGGACAAAAATGACAGCTGACTTTCCATCAGGAACGGTGGAGTGATGCCATAAAATGGTAAAAGAAGAGCTAACATTCTTTGTGCACAGAAAATATTCAACGAAGTTGGGGCCAGGCGCGGTGGTTCACGCCTGTAATCCCAGCACTTTGGGAGGCCAAGGCGGGCGAATCACTTAAGATCAGGAGTTCAAGACCAGCCTGGCCAACATGGCAAAACCCTGTCTCTACTAAAAATACAAAAATTAGCTGGGTGTGGTGGCGGGTGCCTGTAACCCCAGCTACTCGGAGGCTGAGACAGGAGCATCTCTTGAACTTGGGAGGCAGAGGTTGCAGTGAGCCGAAATCATGCCACTGCACTCCACTCTGGGCAGCAAGAGTGAAACTCCGTCTCAAAAAAAAAAAAAGTTGGAATAAAAACAACTTCATGGAATGCTGACAGAGTTCATTGTAGGAGAAAAGTATTACCAAAAAAGTGCTAAAAAAAAAAAAAATAATAATAAGGAAATTCAGGTCTCCAGGGAGGAAGGAAGAACACTGGAAACAGTAAATATGTGGGTAAATACACTATTTTTTTCTTTGCTTGAGTTCTTTACAAGACCATTGAATGCTTAAAGCAGAAATAACATTGGTATATTGTGGGGTATACAGCACGTAGAAGTAAAATATATGACAGTCACACAGGATGTGAGCTGTAAGTTCCTTAAAACTGCTGTGATTTGTCATGAGGACAGAGCAGGAGAAGTGTCCTTCAGTTCCCGTCTTCTATTGGGTTGATCAAGTTTTATGTTTCAAGGGAATTTTTTAATTAAAAAAAATTTTTTTTCCATTTTAAAATTTTTTATAGGGGTGGAATTTCACCCCAGGAGAATTGCTCCAGGAGGTTGAGGTTGCAGTGAGCCAAGATTGCACCACTGCACTCCAGCCTGAGTGAGAGAGTGAGATTTCATCTCAAAAAAGAAACAAAATCTCAGTTGATTTTTAAACATTTATTAAATTTGGCTAGGTGCAGTGGCTCATGCCTGTAATCCCAGCACTTTGAGAGGCCGAGGCGGGCAGATCACAAGGCCAGGAGTTCAAGACCAGCCTGGCCATTATGGTGAAACCCCATCTCTGCTAAAAATACAAAAAAAAAAAAAAAAAAAAAAAAAAAAAAAAAATAGGCATGGTGGCAGGTGCCTGTAGTCCCAGCTACTGGGGAGGTTGAGGTAGGAGAATCTGGGAGATGGAGGTTGAGATGAGCCAAGGTCGCGCCACTGCACTCCAGCCTGGCCAATAGAGCGAGACTTCAGTCACACCCCCACACACACACAAACAAATGATTAAATTCAACACCGTTTCATGATAAAAACACTC